TTTTTTTTACGTTTTTTGTTTAATGTTTACAGTGTGTTTATTTTTTATTGACAATATAAAAAGAGTACTTGATTGGGTGTTTTGACATGAATATGGAAATGGAATATGCACATCTTTAAAATGTGTCTCCTAGTTTTTAGATTGATCTTGTTCTGAATCTGAACCTAGTTTTGGTCTACAGTAGGCTCTGATATTGTTCTGTTTTGATTCCTTTTCTGATCGTTACATGTTTATGTTGGCTGGAAATGAGTAGATGCTACAGTACAGCTATGTTTCTTTCTGTTCCTCAGAGATGTAGTCTGTAGTCTGGTCTGTCGGCAGACTCTGAGGTCTCACTATGCTGCTTTATCTGCTGCTGACCATCTCACTAGCAAACGTCCATGGCCAGATAGACCCAGGTAAAGTTACATTACATGCAGTCCGACACAAACATTTGCATTCATACAGATAGCGGCAAAAACATTCACTTTCTCACCGTGTCCTCATTCGACCTCCTCAGCTCACTGTCGTTATCCTCTCGGTATGGAGGACGGGAGGATCAAAAACGAGGACATCACTGCCTCCAGCCAGTGGTACGAAACCACAGGCCCTCAGTATGCAAGGTAACATCAGGGTTATTTAAGTATCATATAATATATACTATTATAATTTTTGTTAATATTTTGAATTAGATTTTAAATTTTATGTTGCAGCTTTAATTTTAGCAAAAATTTTACTAGTTTGTGTCTTTGTATTTTTTTATTATGTCTATATATATTTTAGTATAATTTAGTTTTAGTTATTTAGCTTCAAATTAAATGAAACAAAAATAAGAAATGTTGCCTTTGGCTACTAGCTTAAATAAAATACATTTAAAAAAAATTATATATAGTATACCATTCAAAATTTAGGATCAGTTTTTAAATTATTTTAAACATTAAACATATCTCTTATTCTCACCATGGATGCATTTTTAATAAAAAATAAAATAAAAAAATAATATTGTGAAATATTTCTGCAATTTAAAATAATTCGATTTTTTTTCTGTTTACACTTTAATGTTAAAGTTTTTGTAGTTTAGCTTTAGTTATTTTAGTACTTTTAAGTTAAACTAAACAAAAATGAGAAATGTTGATGAGAAAAAAAATTTAAAAGAATGTTTTTTTAATACAAAAAAATCACAGGAAATTTAAAATAAATGTTTCTACTTTGATATGCTCTTGTAATTTTGTTAATATTTTGAATGAAATTATTTTTATATATGTTCTGTTTCTGCTTTAATTTTCTTTCAAGTTTTAGTAGTTTTGTTGTGTGTTTTTGAGGTTTTTTTTACATCCCTATATAGTTTCAATGAAGGTTTATTTATTATTTTAGTTGATTTAGTTTTAGTTATTTTAGTACTTCAAGCTAAACTAAACAAAAATGAGAAATGTTGATGAGAAAAAAATGAAAAAAAACCTTGTTTTTTTTAATAAAAAAAAAATCACAGGAAATTTTAAATAAATGTTTTCTGCTTTGATATGCTCTTATAATTTTGTTCATATTTTGAATGAAATTATATTTTATGTTTACTGTTTATGCTTTAATTTTCTTTAAAGTTTTAGTAGTTTTGTTGTGTGTTCTTGAGTTTTTTTACATCCCTATATAGTTTTAATGAAGGTTTATTTATTATTTTAGTTGATTTAGTTTGAGTTCTTTTAGTACTTCAAGTTAAACTAAATAAAAGTGAGAAATGAGCATCTGTCTGTTGTGGCATCAGGTTAAACTGTGAGGAGGGGGATGGCGCCTGGTGTCCTGCTGGTCAGCTGCAGCCCGCAGATGTTCAGTATCTTCAGCTTGACCTTCGTCAGCTCATCTTCCTCACCGTGGTTGCTACACAGGGTCGCTACGCACGCAACTCCGGCAACGAGTTTGCACGCAAATACCGTCTGGAGTACAGTCGCGATGGACACCGCTGGATCTCCTGGAGAAACCGCTTTGGTAGCGAGGTAGGTTAAATGCACAAGAGTGTATTTACTAAATGTTCGATTT